CAACTTGGATCTAGAGCGTCTTAACGTCGCCTACACTAGGCAATTTAGATGGCACGATTTCATTACAAATTGACGACACAGCGTCAGATTGAAAACGAACGGCACTATGGCAGCAACATAGTCTTAGAAGACACAATTACGAACAGCTAGGAAGAGTTACGAGTTGGGAAGGACTCCCAGCTCCTACAAACCCCAAGAACCGAGCTACAGTGATGGGGAACAGTGCCACACTGTCCCCAACCAAGAAGGGTCTCGAAACTACCCTCCACAAGGGCCTACACCCATAGAAATGTTACACTACACATTGTAATGTAACTATCTTCAATATCTTGAGGTGTAGCCTTTTTGGCGAGCTTCAAAACACTTGAAGCTTGAAACCAAGGCTCGGGTTCTTCATCAAGAACCCGGACCCAACACTTGAAGGTTGAAACTCAACCTTGAGTTCTTGATGGGTCTGCTGCACACACCTGCGACACGCCGAACGTTCGACAAGCGACAAAATAGAAACCGCGCACGACAAAATAGAAACCGCGCGGGACACACAAAATGACCGCGTAATACGCGGCTAGCGATAACTCGCTATTGACTTGACACACACACACTCGACATCATGACCCATCATTCACACACCATTATAAGCATGAAATATATATTTATTTCATGCACTCATACCACTCCATGCACACATGCATGCACGCACACGGACAACAAGGAGCAGCAAGGACCTACCCCACTCTACTGCGACAGCCAGAGAGTCATTGCTCTAGCTAAGAACCCTGTGCTACACTGCCTGACGAAGCACATGAGGGTGAAGTGGCATTGGACGAGGAGCATGGTGGCCGCGGGTGAAGTTGAGCTGCGCTACGTGAAGACGACGGGGCAGCCGGCAGACATGATGACTAAGAGGCTGGTGGAGCAGCAGCATTGGAAGTGTTGCAAGCTGGCTGGGATGGCTCTGAACTGAGAGAGCAAGTTCCTAAGGCCAACAATCCGAGGGGGAGTTTGTTGGTGCAACCTACGGTTTGCACTCGGCTTGTTGTCCGTGTGCGTGCATGCGTGTGTGCATGGAATGGAATGAGGGCATGAAATAATATATATTTCATGCTTATAATGGTGTGTGTATGATGGGTCATGATGTCGAGTGTGTGTGTCGAGTCAATAGCGAGTTATCGCTAGCCGCGTGTAACGCGGTCATTTTGTGTGTCCCGCGCGGTTTCTATTTTGTCGTGCGCGGTTTCTATTTTGTCGCTTGTCGAACGTTCGGCGTGTCGCAGGTGTATGCAGCAGACCCATCAAGAACTCAAGGATGAGTTTTGTGATGAAGAACCCGAGCCTTGGTTCAAGCTTCAAGTGTTTTCAAAGCTCGCCAAAAGGCTACACCTCAAGATATTGAAGATAGTTACATTACAAAGTGTAGTGTAACATTTCAGTTGGTGTAGGCCCTTGTGAAGGGTAGTTTCGAGACCCTTCTTGGTTGGGGACAGTGTGGCACTGTTCCCCATCACTGTACCTCGGCTCTTGGGGTTTGTAGGAGCTGGGAGTCCTTCCCAACTCGCAACTCTTCCTAGCTGTTCGTAATTGTGTGTTCTAAGACTATGTTGCTCCCATAGTGCCGTTCCTTCAATCTGACGCTGTGTCGTCAATTCTTGATGAAATTGTGCGATCTAAATTGCCTATTGTAGGCGACGTTAAGACGCTCCAGATCCAAGTTGAATGAGGTCAATTGGAGTTGTGAGCAGATCGCTATGAACGTTTGAAGCCGCTGTGCAGAAACCTGACTGCGCACTCTATCTTTGGTTCTAGGCACATTGAAGCCTATTGAAGCCTATTGCGTCTATAACACCCCATAGAAGTAGGCTGTCGGCTCCCGTTGTCGGCGGCATCGTAGTGGTTGCCCGCATGTCGACCACCTTGTCGACCTGCACGCCGAGGCATGTGTCGATCTCTGCGCACGATCGGCCACACCTCCTGCGCACCCTAAGCGAGGGCGGGGCCAACACCCAAGTCCCGTCAATAGCACCTACTGGAGGTAACATCACGTGGCTGGCTTGCTATTGAAAAGTTCTTGCAAAAACAAAGCTTAAAATTAGTACACTCACAAAAGCATCATCAGCGTAATAAAAACAATTCACTTTGCCCCTAGGTTTTTTTTTTTTTTTTTTTTTTTTTTTTTCAGAAACCTTGACGGTTAAATGTAATGACAATAGGGCAGGCTGATAAGCAGGGATTACAAATATACTGTAAGTACCATATGTGACTGAGTCAGAGTGATGGTGCGAGCGGCTCTGTCCCTGGAGATCTGCAGGCCACAGACTCACTGGGCCTTTTCCTGACGAGCCGTTTGAGCCCAGTGGTCCCTACGCAGAGCTGGTGGGCTGCCTCATGTACCTGATGACGTGCACTCGCCCGGACCTCGCCTTCCCTCTTAGCATCCTTTCTCGCTTTGTTGCGACTGGGAGACACCGTCCTGTTCACTGGGCGGCGGCTAAGAGGGTGGCGAAGTACCTCGGCGCGACATCAGACATGGGGCTTGTACTTGGAGGGACACAGCCAGTTGTACTCACCGGTCACTGCGACTCCTCCTACGCCGACGACGTTGAGACTCAGAGGTCTACGTCGGGTTGTTGTTTCAGCCTGGGTTCTGGAGCTGTTTCGTGGAGGTCTACTCGGTCCTCCTCGGTTGCGACTTCTACCGCAGAGGCCGAGATCTACGCTGGAGCCCTTGCTGCTCAAGAGCTACGCTGGTTGACATTTTTGCTCACTGACCCTAGTGAGCGGCCGAGCTCTGCACCGACCTTGTTTGCTGACAACAGGGCGATGATTCTCCTGTGTCGTGAGCCTCGACTGGAGAGCAGAGTGAAGCACATCGACGTCAGGTACTTCCTCCTTCGAGAGTTGCAGAGACGCGGGCAGGCTCGTCTGGACTTCGTGGCCTCCGAGGCTAACACTGCAGACATCTTCACCAAGGCTCTTCAGCCTTGTGACCACCGCCGGTTCTGTCTGCAGTTGGGCCTCGTTGAGACTGGGTCGAGTAGACTGCAGTAGTGAGTGCTTGTCTCTTGTCTTTGCTTGTGCCGTCATGCCCCGGATATACCCCCATATGGGGGTGTAATAAAACTCAGGAAAATGGTGGATGGGCTTATAATGTGGTTTTTTTATAACCCCATGGGGGAAATAAATGACACTTAGAGAATTATGAATTTAAAACATAGAATTGTAGATCCCGGCCTTGCGGTTTCAATCGAAACTACCACAAAACAGTTTGTTTCGAAGTTCACCGAGAATCTGCCACCCTGGCGAAAATCCTGGCCATGACGTGCTGAAATGTTGCTAACACGTGCGCGCCTGTGGCAATTTCGCCAGGTGGGCCAGCGAAGACTTCGCCAAGCACGTTAGCAACGATTGCTCCTGACGCGTTAGTGGCGAATTCACTAGAAAAACACAGATTTGAGTAGAATTTCATAGGGTGCGGTTATACGAAGATGATCCAAATTTAGGGTGGGGTTATAATCGGCACCCGGCTATAAGCCCACTGGTACGATTATAACCGCATGGGTGTAACATAGGCCTGGAGGTATATCCGGAGTATGACGGTATTGTATATATTTGCATATACACTCTTGAACTGGCCTTATGGCCACTGTTTGCGCTCAGACTGTGTGGTGACGTTGTGATCCACCCTGAGCTTTGTTTTGTCTTTTGTTTGTGACTGGTCTTGTGACCTTAGGCTGTTTGTTGTTACTCTGCGCTCCCCACTTAGGCTATGGGGGTGTGTCAAATGTTCTAGCCATTAGTGGGTTGTGCAGTAGGGGGTACAAACAGTTAGAGTTTGGAATATGTACCCCAATCAATCCAATGCACATGATCCCGCTGTAGCCACTTACCGAGAATGTCGACCACCTTGTCGACCTGCACGCCGAGGCATGCGTCGACCTCTGCGTACGATCGGCCACACCTCCCGCGCACCCCAAGCGAGGGCGGGGCCAACACCCAAGACCCGTCAACAGCACCTACTGGAGGTAACGTCAAGTGGCTGGCTCGCTATTGAAATTATAAGTTCTTGCAAAAACAAAGCTTAAAATTAGTACACTCACAAAAACATCATCAGGGTAATAAAAACAATTACACTCTGCCCCTAGTTTTTTTTTTTCAGAAACCCCGACGGTTAAAGGTAATGGCAATATTGCAGGCTGATAAACAGGGATTACAAATATACTATAAGTACCTTTTGAAGGTTGAAAAAGATGAATTCTAGGTTGGGATGTTTTTATATATGCACTATGAAGGCGATGCTTTCTTTCGGCGTTAGTGTGAAGAGTTCATATCGCGATTCCCTCTGACTTTTCTCTCAATAATGCGGCTCTTTTTCTATTCGATCAAAAATCCTGACGCGGTGCCATACCACACCGGTTTTGGTTTTACCGCTTTCGAACGTTGCAAACCAGAATAAACCTGGGTCAAATGCAAACAAAAGTGATTGACCCTCCTCTTTTTGACGCGATTCAAACCTACGACCAATACACTCGTTCCTCCATCGATCTACGCCATAGCTGCCCGCATCCTACGCCAAGGTGTTTCCGCAGAAACGCATTCTCTGCGATGACCGCAGCCCAAGGCTTGGAGCCCGTGACGGGCAGGTGCGCACCTCCAGTCGTCACACTGAACCCGCGGGATTATAGCACCCAACTCCCTGCCGTGTCTGTGAATCTTACACCATTCGCCGGCGCTTCTAGCTTACTTCGCTGCCATCCGCCAGATCCTAGTGCGATCCCTTACACCGCGAGCCCATCAGTGTACGATCGGCCCATCAGTCGGCTCGGCCTCGTGCGCCGGGCTCCTCACAGCCTCGACTGAGTCGGTACCACGGCACGATCAGAATGGGGAAGAGCAAGGCCGTTTTTGCGCTGCTCGCCATCATGGCCGTCATCGCTGGTACGTTTCATTTCATCATGCTCGCACCATTTCAATGCACCTCACACGAGAATGGAAACGGCATGAATATGCACACTGCCTGTCCCCCGGCTTTATTAATCATGGACCACGTCCCTCGCATCTCACGTGCTCCCATTTTTCGCAGCGAGTCGCCTGCAGCCGACGCACGCAGCAGCTACAGAAGTGCTGGTGGGCACGCAGATGACGATCAGCGGGCTCTCTTTCAGCATGCGCCGCTGCGTCGGCATTCCAGCCGATGGTGGTGGGACGAGGAACGTGCAGGTGTCGTGGCAGCAGGATGGCAGGGCTGATTGCACGACGATTCAATTCTTCGAGACTCCCGACTGCACAGGACCAGTGGTGGACATTCTCGCGCAGGGCAAGCAGATGATGTGAGTGTTGTATTCAATGCATCTCAACACGCTCCTTTCGATACACCTCACTTCACTCCTCCAAATTTTGCAATTGAATTACCGCGCTCCTTTCCTTTCAAAGCACCTTCCGCCACTACATGTCTCACCTCACGCACGACCCTTTGATCTCGCCACGCTGCCAGATCGAATGCCCTTTACATGTCCCTTTTATCTACCGCGTGCGCAGATCGAATGCCACGCTGCCCGCAGCAGTGGTGTCCGCCGGCTGCGACATTGATACCAGCAACACCACAGCTTCTTCCGAGTATCCCGATTCACAGAGTTCAAGCAGTAAGCCCCAATGCAGGTGCTCGTATACTACCATTCGTATGGTCAAAGGTTACTAATCATGCAGCCAACAGCTTTTCCATTCCGGCGATTGCTATGCTCCTCGTCTTCTCTACCCTTGCACCGCGCATCCCCACCTTGTGTCCTCGGCGCCACTCAATTGCTTGCCCTCCGCTGCTTCTTGTGTGTGACCCCCGGCAGTGGGCAAGTGTGGTTTCGACAGGCTCAACCCTTGCTTGGCGGGCTCGTGCATCGACAGCGGCACGCAGCAGCACTCCTGTGTCTGCCCGCCCAACCTCTCGTCTCGTGGCACCTACTGCGGTATGCTTGCTCTCTGCTACCAGTAGTTTATTCTGCAAATATATGTGAACTCGGTGAAACTCAAGGTGTGAACTATCTGACGTGTTGCCATGACCTACTCTGGTCAGTTTATTGCACTTCACCACGTATGTAGCATCTTCACTTCACCACTGCCGTTGAGTGTGTGCAGCAAGAGAGGATGACAGGGAGCCTGCTTCGTCCATAACAGTGGCAGGTAGCGACTGGAGGTGCAAGGACGTGTACACCATGTATGGCCTCACGCTGCAGCAGTTCACCGCCATGAACCCGGTGAGCCCTGCAACATGTGACGTCAACTATCTCAAACACTGCAAGTCTGTGCCCCACTTGAGCATGTTCACTCGTCCTCGTTTCTGTGCCCTGACTTCCTTTCTCTCTCTAACCCTCTGCTTCTCCCTTACCCTTTCTCTTTCTAGCCCTCGCCCTCTTTAGCAATCGCTTTTCCCACCCTCTCCCCCACCCTCTGCCCCGCCCTCTCCCCCCGTCTCTCTCTCCCTCTCTCTCACCTCTCCCACACCCTTTCCCTCAACCTCTCCCACACCCTTTCCCTCAACCTCTCCACCACCCGTTCTCTCACCCTCTCCCCCATCCTTTCCCTCAACCTGTTACCCAACCTTTCCCTCAACCTCCTCCGTCTCTCTCCCCCTCTCTACCTCGCTAACCCTTCCCGTTCAGGGTATCAACTGTTCCGTTCTCCTGAATCAAAGTCGTGAGCTCGTAGTGCGTGAGCTTCTGCAGCCCTGTTCGGCCTTCTACTTCATCCAGCCTGTGAGTTTCACATGCTCAGCTGTGGAGCATCCCATGCTCAGCTGTGGGAGCATCCCATGCATCATCATTGGATAGGTGCCAGCACGTGCATCCGTGTGCTACCACGTGCATCCGTGTGCTACCACGTGCTCAGTGATTCCCGCCTGCACTGCGCTTCCTCTTCACCCTCACTGCCCCTCCCACCATCCTTCGGCCCAGCAGCAGGAAGGCCACGTGCTACTCAGTCATTGCTTGCCCCAAGCATTCCCAGCATTCCACTACTCCTGTGTTGCCACCTCCCCTTTCCTTCTCGAAACTCCCTTTCCTCAGGATGACACATGCTTTTCTGTGGCTCAGTTTCTCGGCATCTCCAAGGAAAGCTTAAAGGATTTCAACCCTGGTATTAGCTGCTCCGCACGCCTCCCTGCGTTCCGCTCCCTGTGTGTGGAGCGCGACCCAGCCAAGGCCAGGTGGAGATGCGTGAAGCAGATACAGATCGGCAGCGTGGTGGACTTCAAGCAGGTGGCGGCATCCAATGGAGTCACCCTCGTGGACCTCTGCAGGCTCAATCCGTGGCTGTCCTTCCGTGATGCCAAGGGCGACAGCTATGGTGTAAGTTTGGCCATATGACTCAAAAAGGTGCTGCTTGTGCTTTACTAGTGGATGCATCATATTTCAATCTGAAAGACGATGCAATGATAAATCACTCCTGCCAAAGCCATATGTGTTTGACCCAGTCAGATCTAGGCATGCCCTTTTCTATATCCTGATCTACATGCTTGCCACTTGCCGTGCCGTGGAGCTTCTCATGATCCAGTCTTATGTTCTTGTGTGTTCCATCGCATATGGTGCACCCCTCATTGCAGCTTTGCGTGGATGCCCAATACGCCTCGGTCCCTGCCAGCGACACCACTGCTCCTGCCAGCAACACCACTGCTCCTGCCAGCAACACCACTGCTCATGCCAGCAACACCACAGCTCCTGCCAGCAACACCACAGCTCCTGCCAGCAGCAGCACAGCCCCTGTCAGCAACAGCACTGCTCCTGCCAGCAACAGCACAGCCCCTGTCAGCAACACCACAGCTCCTGCCAGCAACACCACAGCTCCTGCCAGCAACACCACAGCTCCTGCCAGCAACACCACAGCTCCTGCCAGCAACACCACAGCTCCTGCCAGCAACACCACAGCTCCTGCCAGCAACACCACAGCTCCTCTCAGCAACACCACAGCTCCTGCCAGCAACACCACAGCTCCTGCCAGCAACACCACAGCTCCTGCCAGCAACAGCACAGCCCCTGTCAGCAACACCACAGCTCCTGCCAGCAACAGCACAGCCCCTGTCAGCAACACCACAGCTCCTGCCAGCAACACCACAGCTCCTGCCAGCAACACCACAGCTCCTGCCAGCAACACCACAGCTCCTGCCAGCAACACCACAGCTCCTGCCAGCAACACCACAGCTCCTGCCAGCAACACCACAGCTCCTGCCAGCAACACCACAGCTCCTTTCAGCAACACCACAGCTCCTCTCAGCAACACCACAGCTCCTGCCAGCAACACCACAGCTCCTGCCAGCAACACCACAGCTCCTGCCAGCAACACCACAGCTCCTGCCAGCAACACCACTGCTCCTCTCAGCAACACCACAGCTCCTGCCAGCAACACCACAGCTCCTGCCAGCAACACCACAGCTCCTGCCAGCAACACCACAGCTCCTGCCAGCAACACCACAACTCCTGCCAGCAACACCACTGCTCGTGCCAGCAACACCACTGCTCCTGCCAGCAACAGCACAGCCCCTGCCAGCAACACCACAGCTCCTGCCAGCAACACCACAGCTCCTCTCAGCAACACCACTGCTCGTGCCAGCAACACCACTGCTCCTGCCAGCAACGCCACAGCACGTGCCAGCAACACCACTGCTCCTGCCAGCAACACCACTGCTCCTGCCAGCAACACCAAAGCTCCTTCTGAGTATCCCGACTCAGAGGGTATAAGCAGTAAGCCCCAATGCAGATGTCCGCCATCCCACTGTTCGTACTCGCAAAAACCGTTCTGGTTCCCCCACGCGAGGGGGGTAATTTTAGAGAGCATTGCTTGTGCATGTAAGAAGCATCATTGCCTGATCAGAAGCATTTCGGTATCAGCAATGCTCATCTTCTTCTCTACCCTTTCCTGCCCCACGCATCCCCCCCCCCCCCCCCCCCCCCCCCCCCCCCCCCCCCCCCCTTCCCGCTTGTATCCTCGGCGCGAACCGCCGCTTCTTGTGTCTGTCCCCCCAACAGCGGGTGTGTGTGGCGCCAACAGAGTCAACCCTTGTTTGGTGGGCTCGTGCATCGGCACCGGCACCCGTCAGACCTGTGTCTGCCATCCCAACCACCGCTCTTACGGCTACAGCTGTGGTAAATTTCGTTCACAATAATATATACTCCAGACAGTTCTTTCGTAAATGTGGTGATGTGACCGACTCTGGTGAACCCTTACCATCAGTCACCGAGCACGTACGTGTCATGTTCACCCTTGTCGTTGACCGCTTGCAGATATGGATTGGGAGGTCATTTCGTCCATAACAGTCGCAGGCAGTGACTGGAGGTGCAAGGACGTGTACACCATGTATGGCCTCACGCTGAATGTGTTTACCGCCATGAACCCGGTGAGCCCTGCAACATGCGGCGCCAAACTATCTCGATTCTGTGGACTTCTTGAGCATGTCAAGCCGTTCGTGTTTCTTTGCCCTCTCTCTCTCTCACTCTTACACCCTCTCTCTCCCTCTCCCTGACCCTGTCCCTCTATCACTTACGCTTCCCTCTAGGGTATCGACTGCTCTGTTCTCCTTCCTCAAGGTCGCGAGCTCGTCGTGAAAGAGCTTCTACCAACGTGTTCTGCCTTCTACTACATCCAGCCGGTGAGTTTGAGATGTTGTATTTGCTATGAGAGCATCCCATGCATCATGGTTGGCTCTCTGATGCTACCAGTGTCACCACACGTTCTGCCATGTGCTGTGATTTCTCTCCCAAGAAGCAGGAAGGCCACATGCTACTCACTCCATCCGACCGCTCCCCGCATTCGACTTCCCCTAAAATGGCGAATTCTCGTTCACCCCTGTTGACCACTGCATTCCTTCTCGTACCCCCTTTTTTACAACTTGCGTCCTGCCTTTCCCTCCCACAGAATGACACGTGCTTTTCTGTGGCTCAGTTTCTCGGCATCTCCAGTCTCAGCCTGTTGCAGCTCAATCCCGGTGTTAGCTGCTCCGCACGCCTCCCTGCGTTCCGCTCCCTGTGTGTGGAGCGCAACCCAGCCAAGGCCAGGTGGACATGCGTGAAGGGGGCGCCGATCGGCAGTGTGGTGGACTTCAAGCAGGTGGCGGCATCCAATGGAGTCACCCTCGTGGACCTCTGCAGGCTCAATCCGTGGCTGTCCTTCCGCAATTCTCAGAGCAACAATGATGGCGTGAGTGCTGGCACATTTTTGGCTGCTCTATTGTGAGGGGTGTTCTGTATTGGTGGTATGAATGACTGTGTTGCAAGCCACTGCGAACATCCCCCTATAGCATCTAATAGTTCCAATGTTCACAATTGGTGCATCCTTGGTTGCAGATATGTGTGGCTGCCGTCTATGGTTAAGCACCTCTTGGCAGGCGCATGCATTTATGTCCCGCGGAGCCCCAGTCTGAAGTCGTGGTGTGAATACGCTGACCTCTGCAGCTGTTTCTTAAAAAAAACTCTTGGGGAATCGGATCTCTTGGATTGACCTTCGCTGCACTTGGCTCTAGGCCTCTGCTCAATCCCAATTCTTGTTGTTTTCTAGTTTTTTTTGTTTTGTACAACCGTATTCCCCCGGATATACCACCCTAGGGTGCTATGATAACTACACAAAAAAAAGGGGGGGGGTCTTGTCATCGGAAAAAGCTACATTGCACCCGGGTCTTTACATAATGTATTTTTTTTTATAGCGAAAAAGGTTTAGAACTAAATGTACATGTTTGCCGTGGTGGTAGATTGTTGGTTGGGTGCGCAAAACCGAGGACTGGGCGATAACGTTAGTCTCGAGAATTAGCTGCCACATTGCAAGCTCCAACAAGGCCCACTGTCAGGCCCTGATTGGTCGAAAACATTAATGCAGTCACAAAGGCGGAGCGCCCGCAACAGCCTCAGCTGCCTCGCTGGGGCGGTCACGTCCTTGTACTGAGGGCGCATTCCTGAGGGCGCATTCCTTGTGCTGATGTTAACATGTACCGTAGATGGTTAATGACTGGAAACCCTATGCTATTTAGGCAAAAACTGCAATATTACCCATACATAACACCCCCCCCCCCCCCCCCCCGGGTGCTATATAGGATGCCCCCAAAAGGGGGGGTATAGTAGAAACGAGGCCCGCTATAGCACCCCCCCCGCACAAGCCACCCGGGGGGTGCTCTATTTCGGCGGGTGGTATGTCCGGGGGAATACGGTATATGGTAACAAGGGGTTTTTTTTCCCAAGCCGATTAGTTTGCTCAGAGATGGTTTAAAAGGTACCCCTTTTAAATTTATGTTTCTAAAATGCACTATGTATTTCTTTGTTTACAAATAGAAATTCAAGTTCCCTCGGTTTCACTGTGCAATCTTTCTTTGCATACTACCGTAGCTTGTACGTGTCAGATATAATTGTCTAGTCTGCAGTGGTGTACTCTATAGTGAGTACAACCCAAATTAGGGTTTGCTATATGTATCCTATCTGCTGCTAGTGCAACCCCTCTTTATGTTTCTAACTTTCTACTAGCGTTTCTCGACATGCTATCAGAGCGAGAACGCTCCAGGCCTATGGGCCCACCTGATTTTCAAGCCTTCAGGGGAAATTTAGAGGCTAAAGAATAAGCCCCCAGAGATTATTCAGGTACCTGAGAAGTTGGGCAAATCACTCCGGAGCGTTGTCAAGGATCGTGCGTTCCAAAGAGTTAATATTCTCTCCTGCAGCATAGTGTTAAGGCTCCCCATTGCCCAGAGGAGAAGCCTACACATATGCAGCGACTTAGGGGAAGGTTCCAGGCCAAGACGAAGCTGAATCGGCCTCGAAGAAATCCTTCTAACCCTGCTCAGTTGAAAACTGATATTGAGTCAGCAGCTTCGAGCGCAGGACCAAGGGATGATCTATTCGACGTACCCTATGATCCTGTAAGCGAGACCATCTACGGCTACTCGGAGCAGCAGCAGCCACTACTCCTCGAGGTGATCTGCAACGGGCGACGCCTCCAGGCACTGGTGGACAGTGGTGCGTCCCACTCGATGTGTGACTGCGGGACGTTGGGGAAATTGGAGGGAAGGCGGAGGAGACCCGGTTTTCAGCAACAATGGTGGACGGTACGAAGCTTCCCATCCACGGCGAAACATCACTGCAGCTGCATATAGGTGCGTTGAGATGGAAGCCGACGTTGCCGATCACGAACATCAAGGGACTAGATTTCATATTGGGGCGAGATTTCGTAAAGTGATTTTGTGTGTCCCGCGCGGTTTCTATTTTGTCGTGCGCGGTTTCTATTTTGTCGCTTGTCGAACGTTCGGCGTGTCACAGGTGTGTGCAGCAGACCCATCAAGAACTCAAGGTTGAGTTTCAACCTTCAAGTGTTGGGTCCGGGTTCTTGATGAAGA